ATAAAAATTAAAAATTAGAATATCAAGAAACGTTATCAAAGGAAGTTATAGATTCAAGATAATAAAAAACCTCAGAGGTTTAGGTCATTTTATTTATTCATTTTAATGTGATTATGGAATCAGAGTGTTTGATAGTTGAAAATAATTATAATGTGTGCCGGCCAAAAAATGAAAGAAAAGAAAAAGCATCTGGGTTTCACTGTACAATGGCTATAGGTCAGTTTGTAAGAAGCATCTCCCAATTTAAAAGTTGGGTTTGATTCGTCCCAACCCAAAAATTGTAATCTTGTTCAAAAAAAAAAGAAAAAAAAAGAGGGCTATAAATTTATAATTTTTTTTTATAGATATAAATTTATAATGTTGTTTATTGCAAGTGGAGGGATCTTTGCGGATATAAATTTAATTAATATAAAATAAAACAGTATATTCTCTAATACAGAATCACTTCCCATTTTATACTATATTATGATAATGGTCGTATAAGAAAATTAATTGTAAAATGGTTAATTGAAGATTTTTTTTTTTTGGCCAACGTTAATGGAAGAATATGAAGACTTCCTTTTTTTTTTTTTTTAGGTACATTCAACGATTTGAAAATTAATTCCATTTTGATTTAATATTACTTCCTTCTATAGTACTATTCTCGTTGCAAAATGAACATATTTTAAAAGCCTATTTTACCTATGAATTTCTGGTGGTTGGATTAGTTAAATTAAGAATCATTGGTTAAAATGGTTTAATTTTTATATAATTTGGTTTAAAAAACATTAATTGCTATAAAAGTTCTTTTCAGTAAACTTTTTTAGAGTTTTTGGATGGTGAATTTATATAAAAAAAATAAATCTAAAAAACTTAAAATTTGATAAAAACATACTACTAAATTTAGAACCATAAATACAAATATAATTTTGTAACACCAACCTCCAAGCCTTTAGAAACTTAAAATATCTTTCCAAAAGTTACAAGGACCTTTCTGAGAAAAACTAAGATTCGATCTAGCTAGCTTCAATTTTTAATGAAAAATATCTTTTGAAAAACAAGACCAAATAACTTTTTTTTTTTTTT